TGAGTTGGAGTCTCACTCCGTCACCCAGACCGGAGTGCAGTGGCCGCTCCCGGCCACCGCAGCCTCGACCTGCTGGGCTCTGGCGATCCTTCAACCTCAGCCTTCCGAGTAGCTGGAACTACAGGCGCGCGCTACCACGCCCGGCTAATTTTTGATTTATTGTAGAGATGAGGTCTTGCCAAGTTGCCCAGCAGGTCTCGAACCCACAGGCTCAGGCAACCCACTCACCCTTGGCCTCCCAAAGCGCTGGGATTACAGACTGAGCCACCGAGCCTGGCCCAGACTTGTTTTCTTAACCATCCACTTTTCCCATTCCCCTCATTCTTGCCATCTGACCATCCACTCTGCCCTGCTCCCTGCTCATCCCTGTCGTCCAACCAGCCACTTTGCCCCACTCCTCCAATCCCTGTCGTTTAAACAGTTACTCTGCCCCGTTCCCCCCTTATCCCTGTCGTCTGACCATCCACTCTGCCCCATTCCCCCCTCCTTCCTGCCGCCCAACTCTGCCCCATTCCCACCTATTCCTGTCGTCCAACCATCCCCTCTGCCGCACTCCCCCTCGTTCCTGCCATCTCGCTCCGTACCACCCACCGTCCAGCCCTCCAGCCTCAGACCGCGTCTCTTTCCTGGTCTCAGCTCCCCCACCCCAGCCTCCTTCCCACCCTCACCCCCTTCCGCCCTCTGCTGCTTCTCTGTTCCCTCCTTCACCTCCAGACCTACCCTGCGCTTGATCTCAGACGCTACCCTGACATCACAGCCATCCTCAGTTGAACCCCGGCCCCGTTCCCCGTCCCTAACTGGCTCTGTCCTGTCCTCACGTCCCTCCACACCAGGGCCCCTGCAGGCGTGTGGCTCCGGGGACCGTGCATGGTGGCATGTGTGTGCATGTGTGTGTCCGTGGGGTGCCCGGGACCCCCTAGCCCAGGGGCGGCATCAGTAGGGTACCCAGGGCGCTCCGCCCAGAGGAACAGCGCCAGTGGGGGGGCGGCGGACTCCACGCCATCGGGGTCGCCGCCTGCCGCTCCCAACAGCAAGGGGGAGCGTCCCAGACCCGTGAGTGTACAGGCTCATCGCCCAGGGGCTTTCTGACTACGTGGCTTTCTTCAGATCTCCAGCGTTCTGGACATGGAGGCTGTCACCTTCAAGAAGCTGGTGAAGGGCCACGCCTACTCTGTGACCGGGGCCCAGCAGGTACTGTGCTGGGCGGGGCTTCCCCAAGGGCTGTTCCTGCCTCCTTGCCTGGCCTGGCCCCTCTGGCATCCCACCAGGGGTGTGGGAGGTGGCCCTGGCTTCTCCTTTGACCTCTGGTAGCAGGTTATCTCTCTGCTGGGGATATCCTGAGATGCTTATCACATCCTGCCCTTGACTGACCTTGCCCTTGACTGACTGTGCAGTTCGTGGGCATACTGCCTCCCCCGGCTGTGAATTCCTGGAGCTCAGGCTTCCTCTGGGTGCTGAGCGAGACTCAGAGAGAGGTGGTATATGGGAGGCTGGCACCCATGTGAGCTCTCGGGCACAGGTGAATTACCGGGGCCAGATGGTGAACCTGATTCGAATGCGGAACCCCTGGGGCGAGGTGGAGTGGACAGGAGCCTGGAGTGATGGGTAAGAGGCCGTGGGGCGGCTTGGGGAAGCTCTTAGGTGCTGCTGACATTTCTGCTTGGGCTTCTGCCAGCCCGGGCTGGACCCAGGGGTGAGCAGAGGGGCCATCTTCATGTTACTGGGTCTGGGGACTGCCCCGAGAGCTCAGGCTGTGTGGGGGGCCCCTGTGCCCGGCGTCTGACTGGTCGGAGGCGACAACCTCCTAGAACTGGAACTCAGGGCTTGACCTTGGGGGACCGCCTGACCTGGGCTGGAGGAAGGGAGGCCAGGGTGGATGGGCCTTTGGGGCAGAGGCTGGGCAGGTCAGTGCCTACCAGTCCTGGCAGTACCCTGCCCCCCACAGCTCCTCTGAGTGGAACAACGTGGACCCTTATGAACGAGAGCAGCTCCGGGTCAAGATGGAGGATGGGGAGTTCTGGTGAGCAACCACTCTTCAGCCTGGCCCCTCTTGGGGCCTTGTCCCCCGCCTCTCCGTCCCTGCAAACCCCACCCGTGCCGCATCCCTCTGCCCTGACTGGGACTCCCCTCGGCACTCCGACCCCCAGGATGTCATTCCGAGACTTCATGCGTGAGTTCACCCGCCTGGAGATTTGCAACCTGACGCCCGACGCGCTCAAAAGCCGCTCCATCCGAAAATGGAATACCATGCTCTACGAGGGCACCTGGCGGCGGGGGAGCACCGCGGGGGGCTGCCGGAACTACCCAGGTGAGCTGAACCCAGTGGGCCCTGGGTCTCTGGCAAGGCATGTCACCTCAGTGAGCCGTGGATTCCCCACTGGGCAGATAGAGCCAGGCCGATCTCTCGAATTTGCTTTAGGGGTAAAATATTGAATGTCCTTGTAAGTTCTTTTGAGTCGGAGTCTCACTCACTCTGTCGCCCCGGCTGGAGTGCTGTGGCACACTCATGGCCACCAACACCTCAACTTGCTGGGTTCAAGAAATCCTTCTGCCTCAGCCTCCCAAGTAGCTGGGACTGCAGGCGTGCACCACCACGCCTGGCTAATTTTTTTGAGTTATTGTAGAGATGAGGTCGTGCCAAGTTGCCCAGGCTGGTCTCGAACCCCTGGACTCCCACAATTCTCTCACCTCTGCCTCCCAAAGTGCTAGGATTACAGGCATGAGCCACTGTGCCTGGCGCCCTTGTAAATTCTAAAGGGCCCCACATGACTCACTGCCAAGCCCAGGCTGCTGGTGAGTCACCATCCAGCCACCTGCCTGTCGCTGCTTATTCCCTGAGCCCTCCCCTCTTGGCCACCGCACCCTTCTGCCATCTTTCCCTTCTAGATTCATGTAGCAGACGAGGTCCACAGCCTGGCCTCTCAATTCCTTGCCGTCCTCACCTGCGGCAACCTATCCTTCTGCAGTTGAACCCACAGCTTTTGCACCATCCCACAACGCCTATCTTGCCTTCTCTCCTCTCCTAGGTTACAGTCATCATTTAAAATTTTTCTTTCTTATTTTTTTTTTTGTGATGGGTCCCACTGTGTTGCCCAGGCTGGAGTATATGACACAAACATGGCTCACTGCAGCCTCCACCTCCTGCCTCAGCCTCCCAAGGGGAGGGGATTATAGGCTGAGCCATTGAGCCTGACCAGACTGGCTAATTTTTGTAGAGATGAGGTCTCGCTATATTTCCTAGTCAGGCCTCCAGGGCTCAAGCGATCCTCCCACCTTGGCCTACCAGAGTACTGGGATTACAGGCATGAGTTACCATGCATGTCCTAGAGTCATAATTTTTTTTTTTTTTTGAGTCGGAGTCTCACTCTGTTACCTAGGTGGCAGTGCAGTGGCATGCTTGTGGCCACTGCAGCCTTGACCTGCTGGGCTCAGGTGATCCTCCTGCCTCAGCCTTCCAAGTAGCTGGAACTACAGGCATGCACCACCACGTCCTGCTAATTTTTTGTTTTATTATAGGGACGAGGACTCTCCAAGTTGCCCAGGCTGGTCTTGAACCCGCGGGCTCAGGCAATCCTCTCACCCCAGCCTCCCAAAGTGCTGAGATTATAGGCGTGAGCCACCGCACCCAGCAGAATCATCATTTTAATCTTGGCCCTGCAAACACTCTCAGTCTCCAGGCCCCTCTCTTCCCTGTTCCTGTCCCTTGGCACCACAGCCATCCCGGTTGAACCCAGTTCCCACCAGCTTGGGAACCATCGGATGGGGAAGGAGAGAGATCACACAACTGTGGCTGTATCTTCTTTGTAAACTCACAGCCACAAACCTTAAATGAGCAGTTGCACGGGCCCCAGCAATCCCACCACTGGTAGGTCCCATTCCTGTTCTCACTTCAACATCTCTCTGCCATTATCCTCATCTTTGGACTTGGCCTTGTACTTCATTCTTGTCCTGCAGGACACCCCCTTGTAGCCCCCCCCAAGCCCTCCAGGCTTGTCTGCATCTGTGCCTGTCCTCCCTGTCTGCTGACCTGTGACAGTGGACACACTGTTCCTACTCATGGCGATGCCCACCTCTGCTCAGGTCCCATTCTCCCCCACCTCCAAAAACATTTATTCTTCGTTCATGGACCTCTCTCTCACTGTCCCCTCTCTCTCCTGTGTCGTGATGGAGAATCCTCTGTCTTAAAACCTCCTGACCCCACTTCCCTGCCCATGTCTCTGCCCCTCTCTTCAAAGCAAAATTTCTGAGGCCGGGTGTGGTGGCTCACACCTGTAATCCCAGCACTTTGGTAGGCTGAGGCGGGAGAATCGCTTGAGTACAGGAGTTTGAGACCAACTAAGGCAACATAGAGAGTGAGATCTTGGCTGGGCTCAGTGGCTCAGCCTATAATCCCGCGCCTTGGGAGGCCGAGGTGAGTGGATTGTCTGAGCCCGTGGGTTCAAGACCCACCTGGGCAACTTGGCGAGACCTCATCTCTACAATAAATAAAAAAAATTAGCCGGGCATGGTAGCGCGTGCCTGTAGTTCCAGCTACTTGGAAGGCTGAGCAGAAGATCACTAGAGCCCAGCAGGTCAAGGCTGCGGTGGCCGAGAGCGTGCCACTGCCCTCAGTCTGGGTGACAGAGTGAGACTCCAACTCAAAAAAAAAAAAAGAGAGAGTGAGATCTTATCTCTACACAAAATTTAAAAAATTAGCCAGATGTGGGTGGCGTATGCCTACAGTTCCAGCTACTTGGGAAGGTGAGATGGAAGGATCACGTGAACCTGGGAGGTTGAGGCTGTGGTGAGCTAGCTGCGATGTGCCACTGCCCTCTAGCCTGGGCGACAGAGTGGCACCCTGACTCAAAAGAAAAAAAAGCAAAATTTCTCAGGAATGGCCACATTGCCTGTTTCCTTTCTCACTTCCTGTTCATAGTTTAACCCTTGCTGGCCCTGGGCCCTGCTTTGTCCCCACCACACTGCTGAAAATGCCGCTTGAAGATCACCTACGGGTTTGCTTTAGCCAAAGCCATGGCCGCCCTGTTCTCCTGCCCTGCTTCCACTGACAGGTCTCAGCACGGACCCTGCACTCTGTTTTGAAGCTTCTTCCTTGCAGGGATCCAATTTCAGTTTTTCCCCCAGATAGATAACCGCTGTCCCCTGTACCATTTCCTGGGAGGAATATCATCTCTGCCCAGCATACAGTTCCTCATATAGTCTCATCACATATGTGTGGGTTAGTTTCTGGGCTCACCATTCTGTCCCTTGGCCTGTCTCTCTGCCTTAACACATTTGTTTATTTTTGAGTTGGAATCTCACTCTGTTGCCCAGGCTGGAGGGCAGTGGGACGCTCACGGCCACCAGCCTCGGCCT